GCCAGGGCAACATAGAAAACCCTGCCTCAAAAAAAAAAAAAAAAAAAAAAAAAAAAAAAAAAAAAAAAACACAAAACCCTCTCCCCTTATTTGAATTCACTCTCCATTAGAATTGGGATTTCTGTCTGCCACTGACTCACAAGCATCTTAAACCTCAAGAGCAAGATCACATCACAGCTCTCAAATATTTGTTCCTTGAAGAAACGAAGAAGGTATAGGGAGACGGCTCAGTGGGTCAAGGATCTATCACACAAATATGAGGATTGAGTGCGGGTCTCTGACACTCATGCACAAACCATGTGTTACAATATGAGCCTTGTAACCCAAGAATGAGAGTGAGGGGTGGGGAAAATGCCTCTAACCTATAGGACCTCTCACCCAAGGACTGGTACTTGCTGAGATGAGAAAGGGTGTTGTTCATATAAGATAACAAGCCACATGTTTTCACTTCCCTAAAGCAGTTTGGTTGACCCAGCTGCACTGGATGTGCTTAATCACAAGGAGGCAGGAAATATGTCAGGATGTATGCTTGCCTCTGACTGGAGGAAAGCAGAAGGTACTTAGTCTTGTGTGTGTGCCTTTATAAGCGCCTGGTCATTTTCTGGGAACCTGGAATGGACCTGGCCAGAGTCCATTATCCTGGGCAGTATTTAATTAAAGCTCGCTTCAAATTTGATGGGATTAACAATCCCTGTACTTAGCATGCAGGAGGATAAAATGTCCAAATTCAACCTCTGCAACAGGAATCAAGGTCAGCCTAGATGAGACCTTATCTCAAAAAAAGTAAAATAATAAAACCTATATTTCTTTCCACTATGTATCCTACTTCTGAAAAAGGCTCTACTTTTTGTATCTAGCTGCACAAGATGTGCCTTGACTGACCCTCTCTATTTACAATCCACTGAGTTCATTTTAATCTAAAGATCCAGCTGAAAGTCATCCACTTCATCTTATCTCCACGCCATGACTCTAGTCCAAGTCTTTACCGTCTCTCATGGCTCTTACTGTGATGGAACCTCTCCAATCTGTTCTCTTTGATTTACTTCCTTGAGCGGTGTGGCCTTGTGGGAAGAAGTGTATCAATGGGGGTGGTGGGCTTTAAGCCCATGGCAGGCGGTCCATCTCTTGGCCTGTGGATCAGGACGTAGCTCTCAGCCACTGTTCTAGTGTCATGAGGATTGTCCCGCTTCCCACCGTGATGACAATGGACTGAACCTCTGAACTGTAAGCCAGCCCCTGTTCAATGTTTTCTTTATAAGAGATGCCCTGGTCATGGTGTCTCTTCACAGCAGTACAACAGTGACTAAGACACTCATGATGTGACCCCCATACATTTTGCTTTCAGCTCCTCTAGTATGTCTTTCTCTTTGCTGCCCCAAAGGTCTCTGCATATGAATTCTCACTCACTTCTACTTCAGTTAGCACTCCTGTTTAAAGTAGTCATCTCTTTTTAGTTTCTAGTTTGTTGCTGGGTGGTTTGTGTGTAATTTTTACCTTGGCTTTCGCTTTACTACTCCAGTACAAGCTCCATATGAGATCTTTCGGAAGAAGTCCAACATATACCAACTGCGGTCTCTTTCCACGGTGAGATCTGCCATCCTCCCTACTCAACCCAGCTGGAGCACTGCTGCCACCTCAGTGTGCAGGGCAGGGGGACCTGAAAACTTCGCTATGACAGCCTAAGCTATGACAGCCAGACCAAGACGGCCACAGGCTTCTGTGTGACACGCCCAAATCTACATGGACCAAGACGCCTGCTGGAGCAGTCACCACCAAGACCCCTCCAAGCAGAAGCGTTCCACTGCCTGTTGGATGCCTCACTTCTCCAGCAGCTCTGAGTCTGAAGACTGAACACTGTTCAAGCTGCAAGCATGGGTGGCACACACTCCAATTCTACTAGATGGCCTCACAGCTGGTGCTGGACGAGCACAGCACCCCCCCTTCCACTTACCTCTCCGTGCACTAGAGAGGTTGGCCGGACACAGCAGGCCAGCAGACAACTCGTGCGTTGTCCAGAAAGACACCAATGTTTCAGTTAGAGAGGGGTTTGGGCTGGGATTCAGGAAGGAATACACAAACATTCTTTCAGGGAATCGTCCCAAGGGAATTCTGCCTAAATGAGAATTTCATAAGACACATAGGTATCTTAAAAAATTCCCATCAAAAAACTAGGCTGTAATTACAGATTAAAGTGAGGTGGCAACTAGATTCATTTAATGCACTTCAACAGAAAATGACTTTGAATATCCAATAGCTTGTTTTAAAAAGAAAATAGGCATGGTGGTGCTATAATCCTAGCACTTGACAGAGTCAGGAAGATTAGGAGTTCAAGGCCAGCCTGAGCTACAAGAGACCCTGTCTTCATCAATCAACCTAAAGTGAACATTCCCAATGACTACTCCTCACATAAACTCTGAATTACCAAACCAGCTGCTCCTCTAAATCTACTATGAGGATTTCAAAGCACAGTCTTTAAACTTAGAAGTTTAACAGGCTGGAGAGATGCTTAGCAAAACCAGCACACTCCGCTTATGCAGAAGACTCAAATACAGTTCCTAGCATCCGTGCTGGTTGTTCAAACTGCCTAAATTCCAGCTAAGCAAACCTGACGTCCTCTTTTGGACTCTGCAAGCACACTCCCCACACTACATAACAGAAAATAAAATAAATCTTTTTTTAAAAAACTTTCTATTTTATGTGCACTGGTATGAAAGTGTCAGATCCCCAGAAACTGGAGTTACAGATAGTTGTGATCTGCCATGTTGGTGCTGGGAAATGAACCTGGGTCCTCTGGAAGAACAGCCAGTGCTCTTAACTGCTGAGCCATCTCTCCAGCCCCCTAAAGTTAATCTTAAACAACAACAATAGTTTATTTTTAAAAAGTAGTTATTTAGTAGTTTATTAAAAAAGAAAGTTTCCTGTCTATCTTAGCGAAAGTTGGGAAGGTCCCTAACCCAGAGTTCTATTTGCAAAAGAAGGAACAATACATACCCATGGCAGATCATCAAGGTGCAAAGTGAAGTTACAGGACAGAGGCAGACCCAGCACTGTCACTGGGACAATCGAGGCTGCTCTGAAATGGCATCTGGCCCTATGCCATGTATAGTGGCCACAAGGTACTAAAGCTGAAAAGATGTTCTACATTTTAAAGTTTTATTTATTTATTTAACGTATAAGGGTGTTTTGTCTTCATGTATGTGTCTGGTGCCTGCAGAAGCCAGAAGAGGGTGTTGGATCCTCTGGAACTGGAGTTCCAGACAGTTGTGAGTCACCATGTGGGGCTGGGAATGGAACTTGGGTCCTCTGAAAGAGCAGCAAATGCTCTTAACTGCTGAGCCATCTCTCCAGCCTCAATATTCTATATTTTAGAATCTGTGACTTAAGCGGTTGGAGAGATGGCTCAGCAGTTAAGAACACTTGTTGCTCTTACAGAGGACTTGGGTTCAATTCCCAATGTCTGCATGATGGCTCACAACCAACCATCTGTAAGCCCAGGTCCAATGGATCCAACAAGCATGCACATGGTTCACATACGTGCACACAGACAGACACATAAAATAAATAAGCTTTTTTAAAAAAGAAGAATTTGTGACTCCAAATATTTAATCAACACTTCACTAAATGAATAGGGAACAAGGGAACTAGAAAAGGAGACGTTCCTAAGCATAAAATCCTGAGCCCTAAAATAGTACTGGCCTTCAAAGTTTCTGTAAGATCAACAGTTAGCCATACTTTCAGTATTTGTAAATAGATCTGCACAAACCCCAGCCCCTCCCTGAGGACTCCAGGAACACTGTCTGCATGCTCCTGCTCCATTTGCTCACAGAGCTCTCAGCTGTGGAAGCAGATCTCAGCCTCTGGGCACGGCTTCACAGCAGCGGTTCTGCAAACACAAGGGCATGTGAACTGGCTTCCCCAACCTTTAAGACAGGATCACCCAGTCCACACCTTTGAGAGATGCCATAACTCACAGTCACTGAAAACTGAGATCATGCCAGAGATGAAGCTCCTGCCTTCTCACCAGGGCCCTTTCTAAAAGGCTAAGCTGACCCCAACCTAAGCCAACCAGTATGGCAGGGCCTAAGTAAATGGGCAGCGCCCAAGGAAAACGAAAACCCAAGTCCTTGGTGTTGAGACTAAGCTCCAGCCTTGAAGAGCCTAGTGAAGATTGTTCAGGAAAAGCTTGCCAATGAAGCTAGCAGAGCATTTTACACCCCAGGGACTCAATTTCCTCATGGCACCAGCACCTCCAATCTAATGACTGACACTTCAAATAGACAGGACTCTCATGAGTGCAAAAACATTGCTTTGTTTTTGTTTTATAGGAAAGATTCAAATGGAAAGGAGAGAAGAAATCTGTTTTCCAGTGTAATTCTACTTCCTGGGACCATGTGGAGTGCACCTACTATGGAATCTTCCCACACTCCCGAGCAACCAGCAGAGGCACGTCCATACACTCCCGAATATCTGAGCTGGCAAGAACAGTTGTTAGTCAAAGACCTCAGCCCTGGGACAATAGCTCCTGTCAGTCAACTACAGTTCTCACGACTCTTTCTGCCCTTCAACTTCATTCCAAACACAACTCACACCTGTGCAAGCACCTGAGAAAACCACACCAATGCATTCACACAGTGGTACACTGATTTGGACAGGTACCAATACTAATATTATGATAAAACACAATTTATTTTTATTTCTATTATTTTTTGAGACAGGATCTCTTTATGTAGTCTTAGATGTCCTAGAACTCTCTATGTAGACCAGGCTGGCCTAACACTCACAGAGAACCATCTGCCTCTGCCTCCCAAGTGCTAGGATTAAAGGTGTGCTCCACTAAACCCAACTACAATTTTATTTTTAATGCAAAGACTTAGATGAGCATATGACCCTAGGCATTTTCACAGCAGATTTGACAAGGAACCTAGACACCAGGAACATATGCTTGAGTCCATGCCAGGAGGCCTCTGGGAGAAGGCAGAAATCAGCAGTCCATTACTTACCTGAGGCCAATGGGCGAATCCACTCTTTGCTATTTAGGTCGAGCCTCCAGAGGTCATTGAAGGCAGCATTGCAACTGCTCTGGGTGCAGCCTCCAAAGACGTACATAGACTGATTGGCATCGTAATAGCACGCACCTGCAGGGGCAGGGGACACAAGAAACATGGACTGCAGCTTAATTTAGAGGTATCTTCAACACCTTAACCATAACCCCTTTGTTTTCAAACTCTAATATTCTACACATTCAACAACTCCTCTGTGCCAGACACCGAATTCCTATCCCCAACTTGTCCGCACATTGATCAATATCACATTATCCTTTCAAAGAAAGCCCAGAGAAAAGCTATGAACATCTTTTTTTAAATTAATATTTGTAATTTTTTAAGATTTATTTTTATTTTATGTTTATGGGTGTCTTTCTTGCACAGATGTAATGTGCACCATGTTGTATGTGGAGTGCTCATGGAGGCCAGAAGAGGATGTTAGATTCCCTGAAACTGGAGTCACAGATAGTTATTAGCTACTGTGTAGATGCTGGGACTGAACCCAAATATTCTGGGAAAGCAGCCAGTGGTCTTAACACGCAAGCCATCTTTCCAGCCCGAAACATCTTATTTCTGAGCACTAAACAAACAATAACATCATGGAGCAAGATGGCAGGATTCCTGGAAGAGTAACATGCATTCAGACGGTGGCCGTGGAGAGTGGCGCTTCTCCGAGCCCAGCGGTATCACTCTTACACTGCATCCTGTCCTAGAGCACAGCACAGCCGCATCCCCACGTGTCCTTCCTGTTTCCCATGGGCCGTTCTCTAAGTTTTGTATTTTCAAATGAAGACTGAAGCACAAACCTTCCTATGAAACACCACGACGACAACTGTGAACACAGCTCTAACCAGTGCCATGACAACCAAACCGACACCCACGTGACTACCCAAGACAGGTTTTCATCGTGAAGTGAAAACACAGCAGAGGAAGCAGCAGTTCAAGCCCCAAGCAACTGAAGGGGAAGCAGAAAGCTATTGGACCCCTGGGTGTGCTGGCTGCTGTGGACTACATCAGACAGTAGGAAGCACCTGAAGAGAAGCAAGGCCACAGGAGAGCCAGTTAGCAGTCGACCCTACGCACATCACCAGAGCATTCCCAAGAAACAGACAAAGAAAAGAGCTAAACCCAGAGAGACCTAATCCAGAGTTCAGATGAGAGTTGGGAAAGCTGAGCTCTGCTGGATCTCCCTGAAGGATCATCCAGCTGCTGTTCTTAGGAAAAGATGAACCCAAGCCCTGCAGCCTCACGTTAACAGCTGGGCTCCAGGAAGAGACTGAGGAAAGCTTCTCGTAGTGTCTACATGACGCCACACAGGCTAGGGGAGTTACCTCTCATTTCTCATACGAACCCAACAGTAGGTGTCACATGAAAGGAAGGACAAAGAGTAAAAACTCCAGCGTTCTGAGACACTAGTGCTTAGCGGCAGGGATCACCCAGCGATCTGCTGCAGGTGGAGCTCAGTCTCACAAACCACTACTTTCAGGTCTCTTTTCAACTGCAATGCCACTTACTCAAGTTCAGAAAAAGGGAAATGCTCCTACCCCGCAGCCCAGCCCGTATCCGCTGCCACTCTTAGAGCAGCGGTGTGCATCAGTTCTGGAGTTAGCGGCTCTCTCTCATCTCCGCGAGCTGTAAGGCCTGGAAGCCAGCTCATTATGAGGGGCATGTCAGAAACTAGCTGAATGGAGAGAAAGCGAGCCGTGCACTTCACTGGTTCCCAGTGATCCCAGCCAAACAGCAAATGACTGACTGCAGACGTCGTCACCTCGGGGACACAGATGCAGTGCTGTCAGAGACTCACCCCCACTGCTTGCCCAGCACTCATGGCAGTGATACAGGGAGCTTCAGGTGTTTTGGTCTGGTCTGGTTTTGTTTGTTTGTTTGTTTTTGAGACAAAGTTTATGTAGCCCTGGCTGTCCTGGAACTTGCTCTGTAGACCAGGCTGGTCTAGATCTCACAGAGATCCACCTCCTTCTGCATCCAGAGTGCTGGGACTTAAGGCCTGTGCCACCATGCCCAGCCTTTAAATGTTAACCTATCTATGGACTCTGTTTTTGGTTTGAAAATAATTTTGAGGGGCTAGAGAAACAGCTCAGGAGTTAAAAGCACTGGCTGCTGTTCTTCCAGAGGACTGGGGTTCAACTCCCAGCCCCCACATGGAGGCTCCTAACATCCATAAGTCCAGTTCCAATAATTTGACAGTCTCTTCTGTCATTCCAGGGCACTGCATACACATGGCCCAAAGACATACAAGCAGACAAAAATCCATATACATGTAATAAAATAATTTAAAATCTTTTAAATAATCATTTGAATTTATATCTAAATGAGTTACTTTGTCTTCATGACAAACAAGTCAGTTTTAAAAGTCAAGTCTAGCAGGGCGGTGGTGGCACATGCCTTTAATTCCAGCACTCGGGAGGCAGAGGCAGGCGGATCTCTGTGAGTTCGAGGCCAGCCTAGGCTACCAAGTGAGTTCCAGGAAAGGCGCAAAGCTACACAGAGAAACCCTGTCTCGAAAAACCAAAAAAAAAAAAAAAAAAAGAAGTTGAGTCTAGCGTTGTCTATGGAGCAAGTTCCAGGCTAGCCAGGGCCACAAAATAAAATAAGATAAAGTAATATAAATAATAGAGTAAAAAGTCCAGTAAAATCCCATTGCTCACATTTGCTAAGAACAGTAAATAACAAAGAATTAAGTTAAAGGGCACGACAGGAATGAGGACAATTCTGGCACTACGTTTGGATCTCCAGCACAGAAACTCACCAGCTCCGGGTTATCTTGGTCCCACAGAGACAGGAGCTCACTATATAGCCCAAGCTTGCCTTGAGCTTGTGGTGATTCTCCTACTGTAGCCTCCTGAGTACTATACACACCTGGATTCCCTCAGACTTGGGATGAACTAGTAATTCCAATGAATGGGGCAATGATGAAGACCTAACAGTATTCTAGAACTTCTGAAATATAACATTTATTACGGCACTTGATAAAGCAAATCTGGGCCAGCAAGACAGCTCAGCTGGTAAAGGTGCTTGCCGACAAGCCTGATGACCTGGG